AACTTTAAAGATTTAAAACCACATATTATAAAAATATGAAAATAATGTGATGCTAAAAAGATTCTCAATGATTCTCTTAAAAAGGAATTTATATAAGTATATTCCAGTTTTTGCAAGTTCTCACTGGTTTAGGGTTTAAACCACATATAAGTGATCCTTGGGGTGCAAAAGAGGCATTGACACACCTAATTGCGTGTGGTGCTGGCTGTGCGGTATAGCAATGGGTGCCACCAAATGCCAAGTTGAGGAAGAGACATGATGAACCCTAACCTATATATGGATTTGAACTCCAAGTGCTTTTGGGACTTTGAAAAAAAAAACTAAGCCAAACTCATCCATGTGGAGATGATGTGGAAAATAACATGGTGATTTTCCACATTGTTCTGTATGTGGAAATATACAGAACATACAATAAGTGATCCCTATATTTCCACATACAGAAATATGTGGAAATATTTCTATATATTTTTATAATATATAAAATACATTAAATTATTATTTTTTGGATCACTTATCGTTAGTTGAACACAGCGAGTAGTGGGTGATGAGAATCCCCAAGAACACAGGTACAAAGGCAAGCATATAGAATATGATGAGAACTTGCAAAAACTGAAATATACTTATATAAATTCCTTTTTAAGAGAATCCTTGAGAATCTTTTTAGCATCACATTATTTTCATTTTTTTATAATATGCAGTTTTAAATCTTTCTCCATGTCATCATGTTATTTTCCACATCATCTCCACATGGATGAGTTTGGCTCAGTTTTTTTTTTCAAAGTCTCAAAAGCATTTGGAGTTCAAATCCATATATAGGTTAGGGTTCATCATGTCTCTTCCTCGACTTGGCATTTGGTGGCACCCATTCTATACCACACAACCAGCACCACATGCAATTAAGTGTGTCAATGCCTTTTTTGCACCCCAAGTGAGTCAATCAAGTGAGTTAACTTAGGGAGCCAAGCATCTATTATCCTTGGTATCCAGATTGTTGGGAGGTGTGTTGGTGCCTCTCTTGAAGCCCAGGTGAGTCAATCATGTGATTTAAGTCAGGGAGCTAGACATCTATTATCCTTGGCATCTAGATCGTTGGGAGTAAGCTCCTTCATATGGGATGGTGGAATAGGAAGCATTCAAATTCCAAAGTAGAATGAAGGCATTTGATAATAGATTAATGCTTCCTAAAGGCTGTATGCAAACTTCTTAACATTAAATGGGATTATGTGATGATGAGAAGGGAAGCACCACCATATTGAAATGCCAAAGACATAAAAATTGATTTTGTGTGATTATAGGATGAGATTTAGATATACTATCATCATGAATCCTTGGAACCTTGGGGAATAAATAGAGATAAAATAACCACTAAGGGCTTTCTCATCAAGTAATTACCCTTTTTCATGTTTGTTTAAGAAGAAAGAGATAAAGTGCATTATAGATTTCAAGTGAAAGCTTGATAAATTTATATTTTTAGCATTAT